CAATATACTGTACTTGTTCATGTTGAATGTATTCAATTACGTGCCTCTCAGACGTGTGACATTGAGAGATCAGGAATACTTTCCATTTTACGCATGATGTGTCACTTTACTATTTACTACGTTTACACGGCACGCCGAAGTTATAACATCGATATTATGAAACTGGCCAATCATAGCTATTCCTCTGATGAATGGAATGACTGTGATTGACCAGTTTTTCATAACATCGATGTTATAACTGCAGCGTAAAGCGTACCGTGTAAACGTAGTAATTGTTGTTCACCGAATATTAAAAATCAAATAATAACAATCATATGCATCATGCGTGAAACGAAACACCCTTCAAGATGGTCAATGCAAACTCGGAATGGCGCACTCGAATTACGATGTACGTTTCGGGTGACTCACGGAAACGGAATAGAGACGTTAAACTTGGCAAACACTGTATTGCTCTGTGGCGGTACCATCGCCGCTTACAAAAATGTCACCGAGGACAATGGAAGAGAAACGTTTGTACTCCGGATATTTAGTTGCGCAAACGTTACGTCAGTCGGATTATATCATATTTCCGTGCTCGCGGCAGTTCTTTGATGTTTGCTAGCAGAAGGAAGTTATGCGCTTTTCTCGGGGTGTTCTTCCGAACTGTTTCACATGACATGCATACATATGATGTAAGACAGTACCTTTCTGAGCACGAAAAATGAATACTAACACTTTTCTTAATAATTTCGTATCATCTTTTTACATAATTCAGAATACGCTTTATTGTATTAATTATCACATTAATTTTATTTTAACATAAAACCGTAAGAAGTGTGTAGCAATTAAATTTCTTTTTAAAAATTTATAGTTACACATCTTAAAAATTGCACGGCTGTTTCTCACAATTAATTGCAATTTCATCGAGTGAAATGGCAAGACGTGCAAAAAAAACTTCTTCTAGTTCTGACATGTAATGTAACTTATACAGGAACTTATATACATACGCCGTGCAAATAATTTCTTGAAACTGTGATGTCCAGGTGTGAAATGCGCGTTTTCAGCAGAGTCGAATTGCCACGGTGCGTGAGTAGCGATTTCCACGCAAATTCTCCGCTAACGAAGCAAAAGTTCGTTAGCATCGACCGCAGGGACCATCGAGTTTTCCGCGACTGTCGTTCGCTACGCGTAGTAGG